TGTCTTTTGTAGCACAAATTAGCACAAAATGAGCACTAAATAGTTCGAAAGGTCTTTTTCGATTCTGCTCATTTGGTCCTGCTAGCTTGACAGAGGTAGGCTTTGTTTCATTGATATCATAATAATTTTCAAAATAAAATTTTCCTTTATACAATGCCTCCCTTGTTATCGTTTCTTATGTATAGTTCCATGTTTTTGTCTTAAATACTCTTCTTAAATCTTGTATCGGTACATATATATATATATATATACTCCTATCCTCTTCTTCCGATGCAACTTCTTTGGCTAATTCATCCGCCGTTTCATTACCTAAAATGTCAATATGCGATGGCACCCACACAAAAACAATCTTAATGTTATACATCCTCTTGAGTCTGTAATGCAAGTTTCTGATTTCTGTAATATAGCAATTCTTATAAACACTGAAATGATTATTCTTGATGGCCTCCAAAACCGATTTGCAATCGGAAAAACTATCAAATCCATACAATGTTCCGAGTTCCGATTTATAATGATCTCTAAAGCAGCCTTGATAGCAAAGGCTTCAGCAGTATAAGACGAACAGAGTTTTTTCAAGCTAACTTTATACGCATAATCGTGATTTTCAAAGACAATACTAACTCCAGTCGATCTAAACTGGTCTCCTCTTGAGCCGTCTGTATATATGATAACTGAGTCTCGATCAAGATCATAAAGCTCCGTAATTACCTGGGTCATCTTCATATCAGTGAATCCCTTTTCCGACTTTCTTCTCATTCCTACCAATGTATTAATTTCTATCTTTTCAGTAAGTGCATCATATGAACAGTCAAAGATCTCAAACTTCTTGGGGGGACCAATCACTAATCTCAGCTGAACTATTCTCTCCCATGCTTTAACGATAATGCATTTAGCCAGTTGTGGCTGACGGAATCTAGCATAATTATCAGCAGCTTTAAGATTACTCAATTTAGTCCTTAGCTCCTCCTCGCCATAAACAAAAATCTTACTTAAAAAATTCCTGGCCAACATATCAGCGCGATCTCTTAGCAGCATAACTTTTGCCTCTGCAATCAAAACATTATTAGGAGTACTGTTTCTATATCCAAGGGTAGTTCTTATTCCCTTAAATTGTGTTCTCTCTAATTTTAACTGTATCGATTGTTCTCTAGGATAATAAACAAAAATACCATAATCTGTAACTGATCGAACCAGACTTTTATATAATAAAAGGGCTGTATTTACTTCTACACCTTTTGAAGTTTTGGATAAATACTTCAAAATGGCATTTGCTTTATCCACTTTACCACGAATTTCATTAACTTGTTTATGGAAACCCAAACCACCATCCAACCAGACGCCCAAAAATCTAGCTTCTTTGCGGTTCGTAACTGACACTCCACATATCTCTATATGAAGCTGTCTATCCCAACCGCCATATTTAGAAAACTCCACCAAAGCTGTCTTATCCGGCTCCAAGGAAAGACCCAAATCCTCCAAATTTCTCCTTATAATGTTAATAGCCTGCTGCAACAGTGCCTTATTATTTTCCCTATTAACTCCACATACATATACCGTCACATCATCCGCAAACTGGACCACTTCAACTCCCGCAGGAATTCCATCCATAATATTTGCCGTATATAGTGCATATAATAGCGGGCTAAGCACCGCCCCCTGTGGTAACCCCCTACGAACAAGTCGATCCACAGTCTCACTGCTATTAACAATAAATTGTACCTCTCTCTGATATAACCATCTACTAATAAAATTAACAATACTATCCGGGCAATCCATAGACACAATCTATCAATCATAGTGGAATAAACAACATTATCATATGCTGAAGTCACATCCAAGAAGGCCGCCAATGTGTATCCTCCAGGTAACATAGATATTCTAATGTCTGACGTAATCTTCACAAGGTTTTCCGCGCATGAACGTCCTCTTCTAAATCCATTCTGGGTTGTACTAAACTTATTCTCATGTTCTGCCCACCAGATCAAACGCTCATTCACCATACGTTCCATAACTTTACCAACACACGATGACAAAGAAATCGGACGCACCTTCTCTTTTCCTGGTTTATCAATGAAAATCACTTGATATCTACTCCACTCAAAAGGCAACTCCCATATCTTCCAGACAGTATTAAAAATATTCAACAGATACCTCAAAGCCTCGGCAGGTAAGGCCTTGATCATTCTATACTCGATGCCGTCTCTACCAGGAACCGTATTTCTCTTCACCATGCTCAGCGCTCTCTCGAGTTCTTCATAGCAAAATAAAGAGCATTGGAGATTCCTCTTCCCCAGATGACAGTAACTTCAAATCGGATACCGCTCCATCAGGTGACAGTTTAAAGATTTCCTGCACTATCTCCTCCTCTCTATTTTTGGTCTGCCATTTATTCCATTCAATACTCTTTCTAGTATCTTTTAAAACTCTCATTTTATTCTACACATAACGCATACCAGAAAATCTATTAATACTTTTGCAAAACGCTTCAAAATTCATCTTCTTCTTATACTTGATTGTTTTCCTGGCCACCGCTCTGCATCTTTTATATTCAATATATTTATTTAAACATTTGTTTCTCTTAAATTCCCTCAAAGCCATCTTCCTGTCATTAACGGCATTATCACAATCTTTGTCCCACCAGCTGTTAGGGTTACCAGATTTTTCTCGTCTAATCCGTTTTCCACTACTCAATTGGTTCGGACGACGACCAGACGCCTCATGAACAGCATCTGTCAGTACTTTAGTAAAACCAGAGTACCGCACAGACAATCCATCACTACCTGTAATTAATTCAGAGGATTCAGCAAAGAATTTCTCAAACTTAGATCTAACCAACTCAGCATATTTGTTCCAATCAGTCTTCTTGGTAGTAATCCTATTAGTACGCTTACTATATATCCCTCGATGAGTTTCCAATTTAAAAACAATTGGAAAATGATCACTATCCCATGTATCATCTAGCTGATTATACATATATTATCCAAAACAGCAGCAGAGCAGAATAATAGATCCAAATTAGAGTCTCTCTCTCTCCAATAGCTCCAATACGGGAGCATGTATCCATATTAACACACATAAAATCCCTGCGTTCCATAGCCTCTTGTAAAGATTCCCCAATAGTATCCATATTTTCACAATTCCACAAAGTATTCTGCGTATTAAAATCTCCTAAAAAATAGATTTACAGCCACCTGGATCAAAATCAAAAAGGGGTCTAAAGTCATTGACCCTGAGAGAGCCTCCTGGTCGACGATACACAGATACAACATTAAAATTGATACTCAGATTAATGGTTCTAATTCCAAGAATATCAAAACCACCATCCAAACCCCGGAAACCGGAAATTATGTTAAAATCTATATCCTTCCGTATTGCAATTGCAAGACCTCCACTAAGGCCTCGACTCGGTATCTGGTACGTTGTATATCCTGAAATATAGACTCCACTATTATGCGGGCATTTAGTTTCCATGAGCACAATAACATCATATCCGTCAACGCTTCTCGAAAGCTCCTGTTTTTTATTTTTATATCCACGGCAATTCCACAAAAGGATTTTAATTATAATAAATATATAAAAATAAAAAAAATAAAAAAAAGAGATATATATAATGCTCAATACCTAATTTCTCCAATAGCCTCTTTTTACATAACGTACAGCAGATCTCTCTTGATGTAACTTACTTTGTTCATTATTAATTTTATCTCCTTTCTCAGAAAAACTAGCCGATCTTCGACTCAATCAATTTCCTTCTTCTTCGTTGTCCAGTCAACCCACTCTGGTCTCGGTCTCCAAAGCCAACATAACCTTTTCCACAATACGTTCAATAAAAAATTCTTCTGTATCTGTATTCATATTATATCTATTATTATTACCATTCTCGTTATCTACTGGAATTTGCTCCTCTACCTGGAAATTATTACGTAGAGCCATACCTCTCTTCTCTCTATTAATATCCCATGATCGGTCATTAAATTGTGAAAAATAATTATTGATATCACAGCCTTTATCATTATTTTTCCTATTAGGTACTCTAACTCTATTATTTGTTTGAACAAATGTTTTAACATGAGGTCGAACACTACTCACATATCCTCTATTAATAGACTCTGTCTTTCCATAGTTCCTACTAACCTCATTTAGCCTCTCAGCTTTCTCATTGGCTACTCCACGACTCGGTAAAGACGGCCACCTCTCCGGCCTTTCATACCTGTCATATCCTGAATCGACTCCAGCATCTTCTCGTCCTTCCAGAATTAACCTAGCTTTATGAAATGATACGTTACGATATGCCATAATTGTATTAATAATGTTTTTTTCCAATACCGAACATTGCCTGAATGTCGATCGGTGTGCCCCTCCACAATTTCGACAGCAACTCTCAGCCTCACACAAACCATGGGCCTCTCTTCCACAATTAATACAAACAGTGTTACTCTTACAAAATTGTTTAATGTGACCAAACTTATAACAGTTATAACATTGCCTCACTGATTGTATATAAGGCCTCACTCTTAACTTAACTCTACTGTCAAATATACTTATCTCCCGACACAAATTCTCACCTTTCATGATTATCACAATGTTGTCACTCTTTACATTAATTGACTTCTTTAATTTTTCGTCCCATTTTCGTCTGTACATACGTTCTAATTTAATGACACTTTCTTTATTTACCATAGCTTGCCATAAATCCGGAATCGATGAAGGCCAATCCGAAATATAAGCGACTGTGATTCGCCCATTTCTTATGGCTTAAGACTTAAAACCCTATTGTAGATCCGGACTTACTCTTAACTGGGAGGATCCCGTTTGCCTACAGTTCTGATTGTACACACCACTCATATCAACTGGTGCCTAGTAATTTTTTACTGTTTTGCCAATAAGATTATTTTATTTTTAAATTGGCCAATCAGCGATACATGTGTGCAATATGCGATGTGTGCAATCGGAGCCCTCCCCTCTTAACTTAACTCTACTGTCAAATATACTTATTTCCCGACACAAATTCTCACCTTTCATGATTATCACAATGTCAGTCTTTATATTAATTGACTTCTTTGATTTTTCGTCCCATTTTCGTCTGTACATACGTTCTAATTTAATGACACTTTCTTTATTTACCATAGCTTGCCATAAATCCGGAATCGATGAAGGCCAATCCGAAATAATACCTCTAGAATATATACCCCGTTGATCCACCGTAACAATCAACTTATTAGTCTCTTTCGATAGCTTATCCAAACACTGGTTAGCATCTCCACCATTCGCGAATTCTACTTCCGCAGAATAAAGTTGCTTTCCATTTACATACAAGTGAAACTGAGTCTGAAGTGAGCTGAGTATTTTATACTCAGATTAATGACGTCACTACTTGTTTACTTTGGTAAAAAGTTATCACATGTCAAGACAGGTTCATAACCTCACTTTGAAGTGAGTTTACCATCGACATCTAGAATGGACCGCTGATGGCAATGGTGGGGGTAGAAAGACGATTAGAGTGAGAGGCAGGAATAATAAGATCGTTCTTTCTCTGTTTACTGTTGTTTCTAACAGCCTGATTGGTTGTTGGATTAACAATAACCAATCAGGCTTCAGTAAACAGAGAAAGAACGATCTTATTATTCCTGTCTCTCACTGTAATCGTCTTTCTACCCCCATCATTGCCATCAGCGGTCCATTCTAGATGTCGATGGAGTTTACGAGACTCACTAAAGCACACGGTCTTGATCTTGTGCAGATTATGGGTAAAAACTCAGTTGAATCTCACTTGTCAGAATGCAAAAGGAACGCGCATTCAACTGAGTCACGACGTCACAAGTGAGAATTATCTGAGAATCGGTGTAAATGGAAAGCAGCTAATGATTCATCATAAGCGTAACAGGAAATATCTTATTCTCCATCAAAATCATCCAGATCTTAATAGAGTTTTTACCCTTTTTCTTTACCTTTTTTTACCCCCTACAATAGGGTTTTAAGCCTTAAGCCATAAGAAATGGGCGAATCACAGTCGCTTATTCTTCTTGGATTCGACTGTAATGTTGGATTCACACTACATCCGATTTTCGTCGTACGACGACTCTGCAACCAATCAGAAAACAAAATTTTGCTTCGTATTGATGGTACGATTTTTCTGATTGGTTGCAGAGTCGTCGTACGACGAAAATCGGATGCAGTGTGAATCCAGCATAATTGGTCAGTTTCTTACGGCATAAGGCATAAAACACCTATTGTAGATCCGGACTTAGGCCGGTATTCATAGTCGGTTCTTATTTCAAGACCGTCTTAAGTAATATCTTAAGACGCTAATGCAGCCCTCTGATTGGTTCGTGACTTCTTAAGACTGTACTTAAGACGGTCTTGAATATAAGATCTGACTATGAATATCGGCCTTTATCTTAATCTTAAAAGTTGACAACACAGTATGCCATAAGGTCGTTTATGCTTCCTCAGTCTTAATCTTAGTCTCAATCTTAGTCCCAGAAAGTTCCTATATTTTAAGTTAACCTTGCTTTAGTCCTAAGGGCCTGAGCACAATAGAGGAACAGGAATTAGATATTAAGATTGTAACCTATCAGAAACTGATTACATCGGTATACACGGTTTCTGATAGGTTGAAATATTAATATCTTAATTCTTGTTCCTCTATTGTGCGCAGGCCCTAATTCCTTAAAATTGAGCCAATGAAAGAGCAAAGATGTCGGACGCGGATTTAATTGAATGTGTGCAACAATTCGACGTAATATGGAATAAAAGAAATCCAAATTATAAAAATAAATTAATTATCAAAAATAGTTGGAATGCTATCGGAGAAGCTTTAAGTTTAACAGGTAATTATTAAAATAACGTAAAACTGAATCAATATCCTTACATTTGGAAGAATAACCTAGCTTACAAAAACTGTGTATGGTTTTTCAGGATTATTTATTATTTAGTGTTGTTGTTACGTCCGGGGGCGCGAGTGCGAATACCCCTAGGACGCGGCGTGGGCCCGTGTATAACGACGGCTTGGCGTGATTCTCGTCCCAAGCGGCAAGGGCGGTAATCACGGTTACCGGAGTAAAAGGAGGGAGGTCGACGGTCACAAAATGATTACGTTTATTTATTTATACTTCTCATTATAAATTCGCGCGTGGAACAGAACTGTCCGGTGACAGTCTCAATCTTTACGACCTTACTTAGCACTATTGCTAGCGACAGGCGGCTAGAGATAGGGTGAGCGGCAGGGAGCCCTGAAGGGGGCTCTTGCTCTCCGCTCGGAAGGGCGGCCAGGGCTCTGTTTTGAGCGACTGGAGGCCTGTGTTAGGACGCTCTGGAGGCCCTGAGAGGGGCTTCCTAGAACGGAGTTCAGGGAATGAGATTTTAAGGGGATGCCTCGGCGGCCCTGAGAGGGGCTTTCTAGACCCGGTTGTAAGGTGACTGTCGCCCCGGAGGATAGGGAGCCTAGCGCGGTTCTCATGCGCCACGACGCGCGAGGCTTCCTGCTCCAGATTCACAAAATTATAACGACGATCAGACGACACAGACGTTATCAGGCGCTCCGAATCGGTTTAATTATGCCCGAGAGGAAGGAGAGTGAAAGAAGGAGATAAATAAAAAAAAAGAGAATGAATGTTAGACGTTTTATTCTATTTTGATTTCAATAGATGATTCGACTCGTGAAATTGATGTCGCATACATGGAGACGTTAAGGTAAGTAACTAGTAATAAAGAATATAAAATATTGAATAAAATGAACGAGATTTGTGTATCCGAATGGTTCGCACGCGATAGTTTCAGAAAATTAATATTTACACGAACGGAGGGTAATGCGACTGAGAAGGAAGTGCCACGTGCAACTTACTTTGCGTCGTGGTGTTGCTCGGCTATCCTTGGATGTGCCTAGTATGGAGGATGGCCCTCAGGATTTTTGTGAATGAGCACCCCGCTTCTAAGAAGGACTCTCTGAAGGAATCTATTAGGCTAGCTCTCACTCTGACATTCTGACACTGAACTCTCTGAAGGAGACTAGTAGGCTAGCTCTCACTCTGACACTCTGACACTGACACTCTGATTCTCAAAAAGACTGAAGACAGACCACGGAAGAAAGTCAGACTTTATCTTTGGTGTGAGCTTTTATATCGTTAGAAGTGGTAGTGCTGAGCGGGAAAGGGGGTTGACCTGTCAACAGTTACTTGAATCTTTTGAAATGTTCTAGAAGTTTCGATCTAATGAGATTTCGTTAGATTTTACTGTCTTAAAGAAGGAGATTGCCAAATTTAAATGTTGACAGGGCCCTCTTAGTCGCTCCGCCTGTGTGCTGCATAATGTGCAGTCGCTGTGCGCGTTTATTCGCGTTACATTCCGTCGAATGATGTTTCCCTTTTTTTATGAATAGAGTTTTGGATACAGAGCGTTCGTGCGTTACTTGTATCGCGAAACTTCTAACGGACTTCCGCAGGTTTTGTTGGAAGCTTTTGGTGCACTTGCGGATGCAATTCAGCTACGTATTCTCGAACGTAAGCGCAGTATTAGCCGCTTTATAAATCGGCGCAGTTAAATTTGCAATTGCAATTATTGAATTTAAATGAAGTGAATTTATTGATTAATTTGGAATACTGCGATAGATCGAGAATACCAGAGAGCCTCTTAGTTCCCTATGGTTTTATCATTTAATATTATGGGGTGCTAATTCGTCTCGCTATTGATTTAATTGGATTTTCACGCGATTAATTATATTGGGTCGCGCAGGCGCAGTATGGCTTTGCACAGCTGTTCGATCACGCTAAGCGCGTGATCACGGTTCGCGAGAGTTTCGCGGCTGTCGTGACAGTTCGCGTTGTCGTGGCAACGCGTCTGGCGTCGTTGAACGTGACGTTCGCCTGCGCGCAAATTTCGGCGGACGTTACAGTTGTGTTTAAAGCGTTTATTGGATCAAGTTCTGAAAATGTAATAGATAAATAGATAGATAAACTTTATTGATCTCCTCGGGGTTACAATTTTATACAAAACATATACCGCCCGTTATACAATCTTACTGTCTAATGCCTGGTTTATGCTTCGGTCTTAACAGGTCTTAATCTTAATCTTAAAAGTTGACAACACAGTATGCCATAAGGTCGTTTATGCTTCCTCAGTCTTAACCTTAGTCTCAATCTTAGTCCCAGAAAGTTCCTATCTTTTAACTTAACCTTGCTTTAGTCCTAATTCCTTAAAATTGAGCCAATGAAAGAGCAAAGATGTCGGACGCGGATTTAATTAAATGTGTGCAACAATTCGACCTAATATGGAATAAAAGAAATCCAAATTATAAAAATAAATTAATTATCAAAAATAGTTGGAATGCTATCGGAAAAGCTTTAAGTTTAACAGGTAATTATTAAAATAACGTAAAACTTAATCAATATCCTTACATTTGGAAGAATAACCTAGCTTACAAAAACTGTATATGGTTTTTCAGGATTATTTATTATTTAGTGTTGTGTTGTGTTATTATTTTTTAGGTGAAGTGTGTGAACAAAGATTTTTAAACATTAGACACCGATATGCGAAAGAACGTCGAATATTACTTGACAATACAAGATCTGGTTCAGCAGCCTATGTTTCCAAGTGGCCACATTTTGAAGCATGTAGTTTCTTAAATGACGTAATTGCAGCAAAGTATATGTGTATTATTATAGAAAAACATATTTATATACATTTAGTATAATCGAAATTCTTTTTGCATACTATTTTTTATTTCTCAGAGCGACGAAAAACAATTTCATAAAATCGAGTGTCACTTCAATAGATTCTGTGGGTAACTTATTAAAAGACAATGCAATTGCAAAGTTTCCTACAAATTTTGGAAGTCACAATAAAACAACCGAGTGCTCTAGCAGAAGTGAAACATCGAATATATTACAGGATGTTTCGCAACAAAAATACGACAAAATCATGAGCTTAGCAAGTGCGAAGACGACAATCTTGGACTTGGATGATGACATTGATAATTCCGTACTGAGTCTACATGACGTCTTTCGAGTTCGTCATAGTGGTAACTATCATACGGAAAATTCTGAAATCCTATCTCCGTCATCGCGATTGACATCTGTATCGCAGACGTCATCCGTATCAGAGTTGACCGAATCTCAACACTCCATAGAGAAAAAAAGGAATGCAAAAAGAATAGATCAGAATCAAAATGTCACTCAACTCACAAATACTATTGCTGGTGCATTTAATAAATTTGAAGAGTTTATGAAATGCAGTCAACAGTGTGATGAGACTCCTACAGAGCTGTCCGATGAGGATTTTGCTTTCGGTAGAACAGTGGCTTTATCATTAAAGCATATTTCTTGTAATAAGAAAAAATTAATTTTAAAATCACAAATCTTAGCAGAAATCGCAAATGTGACCGATGAATTTTAAATTAATTGTTATTGCAGTTTTTAAATTATATTTTTTGTTTCTTTGTTTGCAATTATTTGATAAGAAAGTATAATGATTGTTAAAAAGTAAAAACTGTTTAATTTACGTTTAATGCAATTTTAAAAGCGTTTACCTTATTATATTTTTACGATTTCCATATTATTATATGTACTAAAATTTATATATTAATTAATAATATAAAAATAATATAAATAAAAGTTACTAAGATGTCTATATAGACTGCAATTTAAATCCTTTATATTTAGTTATACTCTGTAATATTATAATCATTATAATAATATATTTTCATTACAGTTACAATAAATAATTAAATAAAGTTGGTTGAATTATTGTTATAATTACTCCTTATATTTTCTGTTTTTGAATGTTATGTTTCAAGAAAGGACCATTTGATTTAGAAGTATGATTATATATTTTACACACACAAATTATAACACAAGTCAAATCTACATTTCAAAACAAAAAATTGAATTTATGGTACATTTCCTTGTCTAACATATTCCCATTGCCAAGGCAAGGCGCCTTCTACGCTTACGAAGTAATCAGCTAATTCATCTCGGGCCTCTTTGACAGTTTTTGAAGGATTGTTTGATCCTAATCGACCAATAGAACGTAAATCACATGGTATATCTTTGTGCAAAAGTACTCCATTTTCATCTATATATTCAGAAACTCCCGTTACAACATATCTTCTTTCATGTTGTGGAATATCCTCTGCACCTCTTTGTAAAAAATTATGGAGAATTATTGTTGCCATAACTATTTCTTCGCAAGTTTCTACAGAGGCAATTATTTCCTTTCGTAAAATTCTCCACTGTTGTACTAAAATGCCAAACGCATTTTCGATAGTTCGCCTCGCTCTGGAGAGTCTATAATTAAAAATGTTTTTTTTTTCTCCTAAGTTATTGCCTGGGTATGGTTGCATAATGCGCTTGTCAAGGGGAAATGCTTGATCTGCTACTATAAAGTGATTAAATTTAATATTTGAATTAGGAAGATTGCATGGTTCTGGAATTTCCAAAGTGCGATCTTGTAATGCTTTACCAAACGCAGATTCCTTGAATATGACAGAATCGTGATTAGAACCAGCTGCTCCAATGTCAACAAATGATGTAAAGCGATAATATGCATCACACATGGCCATTAATACGATGCTGAAAGACTTCTTATAGTTGAAGAATTCAGTTCCAGAGTGTTTTGGAGCCATAATGTTGATGTGTTTACCATCAACAGCTCCAAGCAATTTGGCATATTCCATCGATGATAAAATTCATGAGCAATGTTCTTCCAGTCGTCAATACTTGGATGTTTCAATACACGTGGCTGCAGAACGTCCCATAAGATTTTATATGTTTCTTTAATGATGACATATGATGTTGTCTTTCCGATACGAAAATTCCTTGCAATTTCCTGCATTGTACAGCCCTCAGCTAAGTAGCTATAAATAAAAGAAAGTATATAAAAATTATTTCATTGTTTTCATAATACAATTAAATTAAAATATACTTTATTATATATGTATGACTAACTGCAATGTTAATATCAGTCGATGTGAAGGTGACAATATATAAGGATTTCTTCGAGTGTCCTTCTGCAATTTATGTCCCACTAATTGAAGTAACTCATTGAACTGGCTCGGAGAACACCGTGTAAATTTAAAAAACTGCTCATAATTGTGTTCAAGATTGAGCATATCCTTAGTTAAAGAAAAAAAATGACAGTTTTCATTTCTTTTTCTATTCATTGGTCGAACAGCATACCTCCTTCTTTTCCTTCTTTGACTATTTTGAAGTAATAAATGTGCTACACAGCCACTTGACAATAAAAGTAATAATCCAAATGTCAATATTATTCTACGTCGCTGATTCATTTTGCATGTGTGCGTCGTCTGCAATCATCGTTCGTTTGTGGTTATGTTTCTTTACGTATACGCATGCGTAGTCTGAATTTCCAGGGAAGCATAAACAATCCTTAAGATTAAATTAAGACTAATTTTAAGACTAAAATTAAGACCGAAGCATAAACCAGGCATTAGGAGTACTTATATTGAATTAAAATGGCGGTGGCTACCTGACCCAACCGACGCAAAAACGCATCTCTGTTTTCTAGGACCGCGGTCCGATTCACGCTCACAACGCTTAAAAATCATTTCATCCTTGTTGTTTGTTAAATGTTAAACGAAGACAAACGATGCTCATGAGCGTTGTCAGCATGAATCGGACCACAGTAGAAGTCTCTACTCTACGGGAATCCGCGTGTACCAATCACGCGGATTCCCGTATATCCAGATTCTCTTCTCTAGGGACTCTAACATCGCGCTGGTGTGCCGGAGGCATTAAAGTCACTAGATTGGTAAAGTACCGCCAGAGAGAAACCTGAGAGAGGACATGGCGG